CATGCCGAGAGAGGGTGGTTTTTCCCTCCCTTCCCCTCTTCCTGTGGGAATTGAAGGTGCTGAAATGAGCATTTGGTTTTTCCAAATCTTCTGATTTTCTGATGTTCCAGATGGAAAAATTCTTCACAAGTTGGCGCTGGTGGCAGGCGGCTGTGGTGGCTGCGATGGTGGGAGATAACGCGCTCTGCGGCGATGGGGCTAGCCTGCAATGTGGAAATATTGTACAACAGCGAGCTCCCTCAGAGAAGGGAGGGGCTGGACGGTGGTAGCCAAACGTTGGACAATTTCTGGCCCTCCTTGTTGGAAACCTGGCATAAACTTCCGCTCCCTGATAAAACCTGTCCCAATCGTTGGGAGGAAGTTTACCGACAACCCCTCTTTGGAAACTGATGGGTGAAGGACCTGAATGGTTGTGTCATGAAAAGGTCATCTTTGCCTTGGCCAGGGATTTTTACAAAGATCTTTTCACGTCAAAAAAATCAGTTATTCCTCAAACACAAAAGGAGAAAGAAATTGATGAATTCCTAATTCCCTTCAACAAATCAATCACGGATGAACAAAAGGAGATATTGGAAATGCAAGTATCCAAGGAAGAAATTTGGAAGGCCCTAATTCTCATGGAAGAAGAAAAGACACCAGGAATTGATGGCCTCCCAAAAGAAATTTGGGAAGTCATGTGGGGTCCCCTCGCACAAGATTTAATGGATTACTACCATGCGGCATGGGAAGCAGGGGATATGGGGGAAATAGTTAATCAAGGGGTCCTCACGCTTTTGTACAAAAAAGGAGATAAACTTAATATTCGTAACTATCGCCCAATCACACTCCTCACGGTGGTATACAAACTAGTTGCAAAGGTACTAGCAGATAGAATGCTCAAAGTCATAGCTGACATCATCCATCCAGCGCAAACAGGGTTCATCACTGGAAGGAATATACAGGACAATATTCTCCTCATAAATGAACTTGTCAAAGTTGCATACCAATCTAAACATAATGCAGCATTTATCTTCATAGACTTTGAAAAAGCTTATGAGCATATAGATTAGCTCTTCCTGGACAAATGTCTTGCAAAAATGAACTTCGGGTCAAGCTTTAGAAGATGGATCACAATCTTGCATCAAACAGCAACCACCAGTGTTATGATCAATGGCAGCTTGACACCTCCAATTGATTTGCAGAAATCGGTCAGGCAGGGCGATCCATTGATACCTTTTCTCTTCATCATTGTTATGGAAGCTTTAGCGGCTAATCTAAAGCAACACAAGGATATTAGGAAAATACGAGTGACGTCCGTCCCAGAAGAAACAGTCCCCATGTGTTCTCTCTTTGCTGATGATCTCTCTTTGATGGTGGATGCATCACACGAAAATATGATTGCAATTCAAGAATTAATGGACAAATTTTATAGATTAGCATACATGAAAGTCAACTGGGGGGAAAAGACCCTAGGATGGTGGATAAACTATCAGGGAGTTAGACCACCTGAAACGCCCCGAATTAAATGGTTTCCTTTAGACAGGCCAATAAGGGTCCTCGGTATCTCGCTATCTGCTGAAGGGAAACCAACAATCAACGAGGAGGTTATCTTTCAAAGTTCCCAGACCAAATTAAAATTATGGAAGAATAAACACACATCTATAATGCGCAGAACTTTGGTGATTAATAATGTAGTACTAGCCTCAATTTGGTACAAATCAGCAATTTGGGCCCTAGATAACAAATGGACTAAGTCCCTTCATCAACAACTTAGAGTCTTTCTGTGGAGAGGAAACCATGATTACAAGAGCGTCATTAGTAGAGTGGCTTGGACCTCTATCATTCAACCAAAGGCTAAGGGGGGCCTGAGAATCATTGATCCAACACTCCAAACCATGACACTAATGGATCAAGAGACTACTACTCAATCCTCAAACCCCTTGGAGTGGTTTAGCCTGGGAACAATTAAGAAGACTGGCCCTCCAGACAACGGAGACTGTTGACCCAACCATGTGGCTAGGGAATAGAGACTGGTCCATACCGAGAGGCACAACCAAAGAGACAGATATGAACCAAATGACAAACAGGGCAGCAGCTAGGAAGAACATCAAACATGTTATTCGTCAAAACAATACATTATTGTGTGTACTATTTTGAAACGAATTTATGACACAGTGTATAGTCTGGTGTAGTATTCCAGATCCGGATACATCCGAACAAGGAGTAAAGCAGCTTTGAGGCGAGGAGCACATTCAGTACATATATCTGTTGCGCTCCTCTCGTGGTTCGGATCTGTCCAAATGTGGAACACCACAGCAGAGTATACACTGTGTTATACGCCTCTGAGTCAGTACATATATCTGCTACCACTGTGTTATATGTACTGCTGCCTCAGTACATATATCTCATGTGTCCAGATGTGGAACACCAGAACAGAGTAATATATTACACTGTGTCATAGTTTCACTTGGAGTTGAGCATCCCACTCATCCGAATCAAAACAGTATAATGACACAAACTCGAGTTTGTGAGTAAAACGAGTTGTGGCTCTTCACAGACTTAGAGGAGTAGGATGACCCGTATTTAGAAGTGTGAGGACCATAATGAATTGGGGTTCTGCACCGATGATCGTGTACATGTATAGAGCGAGAGAGATGAAAGAGAGATAGAGACAGAAAGAGCGAGAGAGAGAGAGACAGAAAAAGCGAGAGACAAAGAGTCTTAGAGAGACTGTACTTAATTTTCAGGAGACGCAGGGTCGAGCACACGCGTAGACCATCAGCCTCGTTTTTTAAGGCATTTCAGACGATCGTTGTAGGATAGCAGCAAGGTAATGAGAATCTCCAAGATAAGCGAAGCTCGGATGTATCCGAGATCACGGGAGATAGACAGACAGAGGAAGTCCGCAAGAAATGGTGGTGTACATTTGAAGAGCGAGAGATATAGAAAAAGAGAGAGAGACAGAAAGAGCGAAAGACAGAGTGTCTCAGAGAGACTGTACTTAATTTTCTCGAGACGCCGCACGGACGGCGCAGGGTCGAGCACACGCAGAGATCATCAGCCTCGCTTTTAAAAGCATTTCAGACTATCGTTGCAGAATAGCAGCAAGGCAATGTGATTTTCCCAGATAAGCGAAGTTCGGATATATCCGAGATCACAGGAGATTGACAGAGAGGAAGCCCGTAAGAAATGACATATTAGCACGCCAGAGGGCTGAGAGATGGAAAAGACAAGCACCGTATAGTCACCCACAACATTTCGTGTTACGGACGTATCCGAAGTGTCGAACTAGTATAGACCCTTTAGTTTGAAGCTTCCCCTGTGCTTTTTGGGACACAGCTCAAGAAGTATCTTTTGCGAAACTGAGAGAGAGAGAGAAAAAAAAAAAAAAACATTGTACCATCATCCAACATATTTCTGATCCATCCGGAGTGTCTCGGCTGTGAGGCGCTTCGCTACGATCTAGACAGAGCTGACAGAGATAGAAAGAGCGCGTCAGAGAGATGGAGAGGGAGACAAAGACAGAGACAGGGACATAGACAGGGACATAGACAGAGACATAGAGAGAGCCGGAGAGAGTATGGATGATCGCACTGAATTTTCTTTTCATGTCGACATGTGGCACAAGAGACGCATGTTCGAGGAACACGTGAAAGCCACAAGTGTAGTTGTACAAATGTTGCAAGGTAAGTTCGGATGCATCCGAGACGACAGGGGAGAGGGAGTCCGAAGCAAACAACAAATGAGCGCACTAGACACAGTTGTGGGTGTGGGTGTGCGAGAGAGAGAGAGAGAGAGAGAGAGAGAGAGAGAGAGAGAGAGAGAGAGAGAGAGAGAGAGAGAGAGAGAGA